GGGGCGGGGCAAGGGGCGGGGCGCACGGCGCGGTCTCGGGGCGGGGACTGGTGGGCGTGTCCTCCGGGCTGGAGTACAGTAGTTCCCGAAAGCCGGGCGGACGGGCTCCCCGCCGCTCCGCCGGACGCGTGCTCGCTGCCCGTGGCTTCGGCGACCGTTTCTCGCGCTCTTAAAATTGGCCGCGGGGGCGAGGTGCGTGCGTAGCCCGGGGTTGCCAAGTTCGGGTCCCTTGAGCGAGAAATACCTGCAGTTCTCAGGCCTCCTGACCGGGCTCCCGCTGGCATTCGCCCCCATGGGTCCTAAGGGAAGAGTCTAATGAAACCTTAGCCGTTTATTTGAAAAGGAAACAGACGACGGAAGATAAAGTTTTTGTATGTGCTTCAGGCACTTGTGGATGGGCGACCAGAAATCACAGCAATGATTGATTAAGTTTGGGCCGGGATTAGAGAGGGTCTTGTATTTGCCATTAATTTATGTGAAGTGAGCCGTTTGTCCCTTCAGCATGCTTATGTATAGTTGAACCAGTTCTTAAACGATGCCCAATCATTGCCCGTTTCAAAATGTCCCATCACCTTTCACAGTGACATAAATTTGATGGAGAAAATACTTAAAATGAAAATGTTTTATCGCCATCCGCAAAGACCAGAAATACTAATTTGCTATGCTCACGTGCAAGCAAGAAAAATAGGACGGTTATATTCTCCAAAAAAAAATTTTAAAAGAAAGCATTTGCTGGAGCAGCCCTCAGTGGTTGAAGCCCCGGTCAATTTATGTTGGTGTTAGATGTCGTTGAGTGGGTACCGACTCACGCACCCTGTGTACAGCAGAATGAAACGGCCATCCTCACAATTGTCCTGGTTTAGACTCGTGATAAATCTGAGTATGCCAACATCTGGGAACCCACCTTGACGTTTTAAGTTCTAGAGAAAGCCCCTGGTAGTACCCAGACGTACAGCTTTCTGTTCAGCACACACTGTGAACAATACGGAGCATGCTACAGATAATGGTAATTCAGACTGCAATAAAGTACCAGAGCCTGTGACTGACGGGAGCATAGAGAGCCCTCCAGGGACATGGCCACAGCGGATGGTCTGCACTGTTGTGCGCAGTAGCATCGACTGCAGTGAAGGGGCGTGGAAGGTGTTGGCTTGAAAATAGGAAAAGAAACTACAGAGTTGAAATGAGTCAGTGTTCATTAAATGCCTCCAAAATGTGAGTACAATTTCAGTCAGCCAAGATTAGTGTTTACACATTCTATTATGTTTGCATTAGATTTTCTTGGCAAGAATTCCAAATACATAATGAGTGATAAGAAAGTAGAGCAAGTAATAAACTACATGAATGATTGATAGCTAAGCAATTACAAATGCAAATGTTTAAGCATGCCGTCAGTTTTGGGAGAAGGAACCGTATATGCTTACTGGATGGTGTGATGCATTTTTTAATGTTTGATATAATGTAGGCCAGGCAGTTTAGAAATGGGAATACCTAGAGCATGGAAGGGAGAAAGATTAAGTTCTCTACTCCCTTAAAAAGTTATGCAGGCACAAGGGAGCAACAAGTGATCCAAAATTAGTGGCCAGGAGGGTGTCAGGGGCCTGGTAGGGATTCAAGGGCAATGTAATCAAGAGAAATTACTGAAACTCAAATGAAGGCTGAGCATGATAGTGGGACAAGAGGAAAGTAAAAGGAAATAGAGGAAAGGACTAGGAGGCAAAGGACATTTATAAAGGTCTAAATACAGGCATGTACATATGTAAATATATTTATATAGGATGATGGGGAAATAGATCTATGTGCATATATTTATAGGTGTAGTATTAAGGCATCAGATGGACATTGGACCTCCACTCAAGTACTTACTTAATTCAAGAACACTTTGTTCTATTAAATTGACATTCTATGATGCATACCTTCCCCACATTATCACTGAAGACAAAAGTGAGTGCATAAGCAAATGTGAAGAAAGCTGATGGTGCTGAGCTATCAAAAGATGTACCGTCTGAGGACTTAAAGGTTTGCAGGTAAACAAGCAGCCATCTAGCTCAGAAGCAACAAAGCCCACATGGAAGAAGCACACCAGCCTGTGTGATTGCAAGGTATGGAAGGGATCAGGTATCAGGCTTCAAAGAACCTACCATCTGTAGGTAACAGGACACCCCCTTACCAGGGAGGAGATGAGCCAGTCAGCGTGTAGTTTAGCAACAATGAAACATACAACTTTCCTCTAATTCATAAATGCTTCCTTCCCCCCACTATCATGATCCCAATTCTACCTTACAAATCCGGCTAGCCCAGAGGATGTACACTGGTACAGATAGGAACCGGAAACACAGGGAATCCAGGACAGATAATCTCTTCAGGATCAGTGGTGAGAGTGGCGATACCTACCGGAGGGTGGAGGGAAGGTGGGTTAGAAAGGGGGAACTGATTATAAGGATCTACATATAACCTCCTCCCTGGGGGAAGGACAACAGAAAATTGGGTGAAGGGAGACATCGGATACAGTGTAGGACATGACAAAATAATAATTTATAAATTGTCAAGGGTTCATGAGGGACGCGGGGGGGGATGAGGAGCTGATACCAAAGGTTTAAGTGGAGATCAAGTATTTTGAGAATGATGGGGGGCAACGAATGTATAAAATGTCCTTGACACAATTAATGTGTCAATTGTGTCACTGTTGGACAATTATGGACTGTGATAAGAGTTGTATGAGCCCCCAATAAAATGATTTAAAAATGATTTTGAAAAGTGAAAGAAAAGAAAACGATGGTGGCAACATATGCTCAAATGTGCTTGATATAATTGATGTCTGGATTGTTATAAGAGCTGTAAGAGCCCCCAATAAAATGATTTATAAACAACTAGAACAACAAAGTTATACAGTCTCAGAAACCCACTGGGGCAGTTCTGCCCGGTCGTATAGGGTTGCTGTGAGTCAGAATTGACTAGCTGGCAGGGAAGAGCTTGAGGGTGTGGGTGTTACTCCAAGAAGAAGGAGCTGGAATGCTTTCAGAAGATCCTGGTATTATCTCTTGATGTCTTGGAATCTCTGGACCCTGAGGAAATTGACCCTCCAGAACTTTAAAGCTATCAGAAAGGTCTGGGGGTATTGGGAAGATCTTGGGCATTCTGATGCCCACCCTCCTACCCTCACATTTCTAATGACAGGGCAGAAGAGGCCTAAAGACAGGAAAAATCCCTCCTGGACACTGTAAACTAGTTGAGGGTGCCATGTACAGTTCAGAAGTACTGGATTTCTTATGGAAAATTAAGCAGATGATTGGATGGAATGAAGCACTAAACCTGTAATTCTATCTAATCTAAAAGAACAGTGTTTTAGGGAGTAGATGGGAAAGATCTTGGGCGAAACGGCCTAAGAGTTTGTAGGGCAGTCGTATCTGCCGTAGTTTGCACTTCTAACGGGAATGTGCTTCTCTGAGCTTACACTTGCTGGGAAGAGACATGAGGATCAGCCAGGTCTCAGTGATAACAGGAGAGCTGGGCCATGGCACACCTTCCATGGGAGAGAAGCTGGATCCCAGGGTTGGAACCTCCTACTTTGACTTATTTCCACCCCCCATTAGCTTACTGAATCCTTGGTCTGGTAAAGTAAAATCATAATAAACCTCTGCTCTTCCTACTTCTCTTCATCTAAGCCTGACAGTTTCTAGTTGATAAATAGGTAAAGTAAAAGTATTGTATTTATTTATCCATATTGGCCTATCATTTGGTTAATTGAGATTCCATCTGTTCATATTGTCAGACTGGGTCTAGAGGAGCGGAAACCTCTTTTACCCAGATCTTAGATCGAGACGGGCAGTTGTTTCCTAGCACCAGAAATTTACTAGTGAAAAAGAAAAAGAAGACATTTGTACTGTAGCATGAATGTTACTTGAAATTTTAAACATGTCCAAGATAAAGACTTTAGTAATAGAGCAAGAGAAATTGAGCTGCTCTTTCAGCCAATGCTCCTCAGCATTACAGTGGAGCATAGTACGGGTCACGACAGTGTAAGAGACTGCTTTCCAAGTAGGAAAGGGAGGGGGGTCATTTTTTGGTTTGTTTACATAAAGTCAGAGAACTAAATGCTGTTTTCTTCTTAGGTTTCCTCTTACTCGGCCCAGTCTTTGTAAAGAATGGGAGGCAGCTGTCAGAAGAAAAAACTTTAAACCCACCAAGTACAGCAGCATTTGTTCGGAGCATTTTACTCCAGACTGCTTTAAGAGGGAGTGCAACAACAAGTTACTGAAAGAGAACGCTGTGCCCACAATATTTCTTTGTACAGAACCACATGACAAGGTAATATATGCTGAATTTAATTGAGTGGCTTTCCATTTAAAAGTTCATGTTGTGGCAAATTCAACTCAGTGTTAAATAAATGTTACCTGGTACCCATCACTTGTAAATAACAATTGCTATCAAATGTGGTGAAGAAAGCTGATGGTGCCTGGCTATCAAAAGATATAGCGTCTGGGGTCTTCAAAAGGCTGGAAGGTAAACAAGTGGCCATCTAGCTCAGAAGCAACAAAGCCCACATGGAAGAAACACATCAGCCTGTTGTTATCACAAGGTGTTGAAGGGATCAGGTATCAGGCATCAAAGAACAAAAAATCAAATCACTGTGAATGAGGGGGAGTGCAGATTGAGGACCCAAGACCCATCTGTAGGCAACTGGACATCCCCTTACAGAAGGGTCGCAGGGCAGAGACGAGTCAGGGTGCAGTGTAGCAACGATGAAATATACAACTTTCCTCTAGTTCTTAAATGCTTACCCTGCCCCGCCCACTATCATGATCCCAATTCTACCTTACAAATCTGGCTAGACCAGAGGATGTACACTGGTACAGATAGGAACTGGAAACAGGGAATCCAGGACAGATGATCACTTCAGGACCAGTGCCGAGAGTGGCGAGACGGGAGGGTGGAGGGAGGGTGGGGTGGAAAGGGGGAACTGATTACAAGAATCTACATGTAACCTCCTCCCTGGGTGATGGACAATGGAAAAGTGGGGGAGGGAAGACGTTGGACAGTGTAAGATATGACAAAATAATAATTTATAAATTATCAAAGGCTCATGAGGAAGTGGGGAGGGAGGGGGAAATATGAGCTGATGCCAAGGGCTTAAGTGGAGAGCAAATGTTTTGAGAATGATGAGGGCAACGAATGTACAAATGTGCTTTACACATTGATGTATGTATGGATTGTGATAAGAGTTGTGTGAGCCCCCAATAAAATGATTTTAAAAATAATAATAATAACCACTGCTATCCGTGCTCTAGGGCTCCCTGGGTGGCGCAGACAGGTAAGTGCTTGACTATAGGTTTTGAGCCCTCCTGGAGGCACTCAGAAGACAGCCCTGGCGATCTGCTTCCCAAAGGTCCTGAACAGCCTTGACACTTCAGTGGAGCACCTAGCTGTACTCTGACACATATGGAGTCACCTTGACCCAGAACTGACTCCGCAAAATACCTTTTTTTTAAAAAAGGCAAAATGGAAGAATTTAAAGTTAAATATACTCCCACTAAGAAACTTCACACTCGGAAAACACACTGCCATTCAGTTGATTCTAACTGCTAGGAGCTTTGGTGCGAGTGGTTCCACATTGGACTGCTGGGCCCAAGGTTAGCGCTTGGGAACCACCAAGTGCTCCTTGAGAAAGATGAGGCTTTCTGCCCCCAGAGCACGCGTCTCGGAAACCCACAGGGCAGTTCTGCACGGCCTGTAGGCTCATTGTGAGCGTGACTGACAACCTGCCGTAAGTCTTGTCTTCAGTTTTAAAGGCTTAGAGAGTATTTAGTTAAATGAATATTTAGCAAAATATGGTGATAACTGATCATTCTCCACCCTTATTGCATCCCACTTTAGGCAGAAAAGTGAAAGTGATACTTTAGGAACTTGTTTTCTCACTTTGGAATGTCTCTGTGCCAGGGCTGCTCACAGAAGTCTAATATTTCTTAAATGCCCCCAGTGAGTTCTCTGAAGCTGGTGTTTTTGCGTTATTGTTTTAGAAGGAAGACCTGGAGCCCCAGGAACAGCTTCCGCCACCACCCCTGACGCCACCCGTTTCCCAGGTCGATGCTGCTATTGGATTACTAATGCCCCCTCTTCAGACCCCCGATAATCTCTCCGTTTTCTGTGACCACAACTATACTGTGGAAGACACAATGCACCAGAGGAAAAGGATCCATCAGCTGGAACAGCAGGTCGAGAAACTCAGAAAGAAGCTCAAGACTGCGCAGCAGCGGTGCCGGAGACAAGAGCGGCAGCTGGAGAAGTTAAAGGAGGTTGCCCACTTCCAGAAGGAGAAAGACGTACCCGAGCAAGGTTACGTGATCCTCCCGCCTGACTACTTTGAAATCGTTGAAATGCAGTGAGAAAATGAAATGCGTGTTGGTTTTCCATGGGACAATACCACGTAGCCTCTTGTAGCCTATAAAGGAGTGCCATTGGAAGAAGTCAATACCTGACTACTTGTATAAAAACAACTCAGAATATTTTTTTAAAAGAATAAATTACAGACCTCCTGTAAAATTGTAACCTTTTGTTTCTAATTTCAGGGTTTTTACATTTTCACAAAATATTTTAGAAGTTAGAAACTAACCTCCAAGCTTCATTGTAAATTTTTTTTCAGATTGGGAATTTTGCCTTATATATTTGAGAATGTATAGAAATAATGTAAAAATGTAAGAGCGTACCAGCAGTTCAGGAAGCACTATAAGGTACAGTAGAGATGATTTAAGTTTAAAATTGAAAGTAAATGTAATGTATTGAGAGAACTCAGTTATTTTAAATCAGAAGTCTGCGTCAGATCAAGAGACATTACTTCTCAGTATGTATGTGTGTGTGTATATATACACACACACACAAATATATACACACACACACACACACACACACACACATCGTCACACACTCTTATTTTTTAAATCAAGTTTGTGTGTCTTTGAGTCACTTCACAAGACTATATTAGCAGGTCAACACTTAGGGGAAAACAAGATAAGGTTTTTAGAGAAGAAATTGAAGTGTCTATGTCTGATCCATATGGTTAAATCAAATTATAAAGTATCCCCCCCCCACCCACAGTTTCACATTATAAAATTAGTAATGATCTCCAGAGGAAGAAGTATTCTTCAATAAACAAATGTCACTAATTTGGGCACTAATTTCAGGGAAGTAAGGAAACTGGGCGGCTGGCCCACAGCTGGCTTTTTTCTGTTATTGCCGCTGAGTCAAAGGGCAGCCAGTTCCCCGCTGCAGTCAGCCCTGCATTCGGACCTCTGGACAAGTGTGTTGTGTTTGTTGCAGTTGATTTGTATCATCGTGTGGCATTCTTTGAGGGATTTGATGAAATGATTTTAGTCAGGGCTTTCATTAAAAAGTGATTTCACTTTTGACACAAGCTAGAAATATCACATTTATTTGAATGAGTGATTTCTGTTCAAAAGTAACCTCATAGGTACTGTTTATTTTACTGAATGTAAAGATTTAAACTCTGAGGTTTCTGTTCGGGCTGTGAGATGTGTTCTGACTTTGTGAGATGCTTAACCTATATTTGAGATGGAACTATGTTCCAAGTAAATGAATGTCGCCAGAGGAATTACCTATTGAGATTTAGACTGTTTCCATGGTAACTATCACTTTTATACTTCCAACTACATTGAAAGAGATCACTAGACCTCCCGAGACAGTATTAAAGATGTGAAACAATGATGTTCAGCAAAAGTGTCTTTTGTAACCCTGGTTTTCAGAATAATTCACTGCTCTGCTGCCCGTGGAGAACAATGATTCACAGAGATTTGATTGTTTTATGAGCCAGTATTTAAAAAGCAGAAAATAGTGATTAGATTACTTGGAATTATGTAACTCCAGATACCACTATTTCGAATTAATTTTAATGACCCTTTTATACTTTGTTGATTTTCATAACTTGTTTGAAGCCACGAAGCCTCCAAAGAGTTCGTTTTCACCTTTCAATCCTCGAGCAATTTTTGCAGGATGGTTGGGTGTTTTCCCAAGAATGCAGGTCGAATCAGAATGATCTTATCACCCTTGGGGAAATGAACGGGCTCCTGAGCCAGTAGTGGTCCCAGTGCTTGCAGTGCAGCCCCTGCTGAGGGGGAGACTCCTGAAAGAAGCTGGGCAAGAGGCACTTCAGTGCTACTGACTCTTCTCAGTTTGATGTTCATTTGTTAGCATCTGAGATGTGCTTGACACCATGAGCTTTCTCTCTTACGTATTTAAGGAGATCTGCTTGCCGAATTACTCCTGTATCGTTGCTGATAATAAGGAAACAGAAATAAAACATCGTTGGAAATCCTTTAAAAATTAAAAATATATATCTATTCATATATGTCCTATATAAAAGTTAAATGAGTTCTCTTTTTCACATTCTCTTTTTCCTCCCAGAAACCAAGAATCCAGCTGAGACTGTAAAAGTGGTGATCGTAATGATTTAGAATCCTAGCATTATGACTTAACCTGAAGCTATTCTCATTGCAGACATAAACCCCTATTTGGAGAGAACTGAGCAAACAGCATGTGTACCAACTGCTTGCAATGAAATTATTCATCCTAGTAGTTTAATGCAGGGCGTTTAAAGTACAGGTGCTTATTTATGAATTGCGCAATGCAACATTCATTGAACATCAAATTTTTCACTTTGGTGTATTGGTTCACACATTGCCAATAGAAAAGGAAGAAGATTTATGCTTAAAGTGAACGTATTCAAGCATAGTGAAACACCGCAATAGACAAAGACAAGGTCTCAATCTAGAACAAATGATGTGAAAACGTCACAGCATATTCGGAAAGAGATTTTCTTGACGCTCACATGCTGAAATTTACACCTGTGACTGCCAGAATCTGGTATGATGGTAAAAAGAATGAATTATTTAATATTAGAACTGCTGGCACAACTGTACGTAGAAACAGAATTTTAGAGTTAGAAGATTATAGAAATCTAACTTCCCCCAAAATCATTGCCATCAATTTGATTCCTACTCAAAATCAGTGGGTATAGGGTTTCAGAGGCTAGAAATCTGTGTGGGAACAGGTAGTCTCATCTTTATCCCACAGAGCGACCAGTAGGTTTGAACTGCAGGCCTTGTGGTTAGCAGTCCAGTGCTTAGCAGCCCAGTGCTTACCTGACATTGCCACATAGAGGCTCTTTTCCTAACCTCCCAATCCTATGGAAGTCTCTCATAATATCCTTGACAAGTGGTGTTCAATCTGTTTGTAGCATTTGTATGTTTACGCAGTTATTGTACATTTCTGGATCAGAATAAAACCAGTTGCCACTCTTTTTATACCTCTTCTTTATAGTACAATATTCACTTTAAACTGTTTCTTAGTTTGAGCTATCATATTCTAAATTAGTTTTACAATTTAATAAAATAATGTTTACTAATTATATGCCTGTTATGTGTACTTCAAATAATTTTGTCCTTGTGGTAAAGAAATGGACATTCATAGATTGTTATCAAAGCTATTTACTTGGAAATCCAAGGTGATGAAGGGTTTTTCTTTCAAGTGTAATTTCTTAGAAGTCTAATGATAAGGTAAAGGTGTCTGAAAGAATTATATGATGCTGATTTTCTTAAGCTTAAATTAATATTTGCTGATCATATCTGTATTTTTAGAAAAGCATACATAAACTCACCTCTTATGGATGTGAAGTCATAAAATAATACACTTTAAAATCTATTTGGTTTGAGAGAAAAAACTGCCACTCATACTCCAAAATTTTAAAAAGATAGTCCACCCTGTGTGTAAGGGAAGATTTGCCTGCGGGAATCACGTAATTTGGATGCCCAGTGACTGAACAGCACTGCAGGCAGCCCCCAGTATACACATGTCCTTTAAAAAAAAAAATCATTGCATTGAAGTCCCGAATTAGCAGAGAACTCCTCAAGAAGAAGGACACAGTGGGGGCGGGCTTGCTTTACCTGACTTTAGCACATATTATACAACCACAGTTGTCAAAACCGCATGGTATTATGGTATTGGTACAATAACAGATACTCAGACCAATGGAAAAGAACTGAAAACCCAGAAATAAAATCACCAGCATACAGACAACTGATATTTGATAAGGGCCCAAAAAATATCCAATGGGAAGCAGATGCCCTCTTTAACAAGTGGTGCTGGGGAAAAAGGATATCTACCTGCAGAAAAATGAAGCAAGACCCTTATCTCACTCCATGCACAAGAATAAACTCAAGGTGGACCACAGACCTTGAAGTTAACCCCAAACGATTAGGGCCATCAATGAGGGAATTGGGACCAACTTGAGAACTCTGGCACAGGAACACACAGGCTATCAGAAATAGGGAAGGACACAAACACAGAGGAGGCACAAATTGACAAATGGGATAGACTGAAGATAAAACACCAGTGTACATTGAAAACATTCACCAAAAGAGTAATAGAGTTCACAGACTGGGAAAACATCTTTAGCAATGACACATCAGACAAAGGCCTTATTACTAAAACCTACAATACTCTGCTAGCTTCCAAAAAGAAAAAAACTAATTGCCCACTGAGGAGGTGGGCAAAGGACCTGAACAGAAG